TCTTACCTGACTTACACCCAAACTCTTCCGAGAATTCACGTCGCGTGCCGCATCACACGCTTGAACGACTCCGTCGAACCTTAGCATCGACGTAACAATAAATTACATAAGGATAGGATTAGCCCAGAGAAATTCGCAGAAATCCAAAATGTTTAAAAACCGTTAAATTCTTCTAATATCTTAATTGTTTTTGCTATTCGACCAAGTCAATTCTAAGAGAGACGAATAAAATCAGCAGTTTAATGATCATGATTTTAATGTACAATAATTTTGATAGACTTCTAACTTTTTTGTAAAATTAAAAAAATGTGTTTAGACTGCGGATCATTATTATGCAAAATAAAAAATGTCTAGGTTAATTGTAAGGAACATAAATTAAATAAATATGTCTTTCCTCTTTTGACAATTGTAATAAGTTGGAAATAATGTAACAGTGTCCTTAAATTCTTCCAATGCTTTACGCTTGTGTTTGACCTCGGTTTTGCCAGAAATGCATCAAATTCGGAGTCTCGATATGTCTAATAATAATATGTAAAGTGGTGCAAACCTTTGAACTGTTTCCGGAAGGTACCTCACTGAATTAATGGACATTTTCAAACGTGAACAATCATACAAATATAATTGATAAGAAACTTGTAGTTATTGCTAGTCAAAGTCATTGACCAGCAACAAGTCATCTGAGCATATTTCCTGTATCAATTCCCTCATTTTACAAAATACACGCATTCGTAACAGAGCATCGAAGACCTTGGAAAGTCAGAATAAAATGGTCTTGGAGAAGTAATGCTTGTCGACCAAAAACGAAAGTCACTTTATGATAATTCGAAGAGATCTTTAACCTTTTAGGTACTGCGGGTTTCCTCGGGTCATTCGAAGCAACTTTTTCCTTTACAAAAATTTTCTCCGAGGCACCGTTAACGAGTTATTAACGAAAAACAGTGACCAATGGGAGACGAGCTCGGGTGGCGCGAGGCGACCGAGCCAATGAGCGGAACTGGGCTTCGCGCGCTGGTTGGCTGGGCCGCCTCGCGTCAGCCGTACTCGATTCTTATTGGCGCACTGTTTTTCGTTAATAACTCGTTAACGGTGCCTCGGAGAAAATTTTTGTAAAGGAAGAAGTTGCTTCGAATGATCCGAGGAACCCGCCATTTCCGGATTGCGAGACATTTTTGGGACACACTGTAGACTGTTGTAAATCGATGCGAAGACAAAAGAAGTGTGAAACAATG